TGAAGGAAGAGGGAAAGAAGATGGAATGCGAGGGATGGGGCGATTTGAAAAGTAAATGGAAAATGGAATGCATGGGGTGGCTAGCACTGACACTAAAGCAGTCTAGCTACGGGACCATCCCTGGGCTTCTGGAGTGGCCCCCCAGGCCCCCCTCCCCCCTGAACCTCAGTTGCCCAAGCCGCTAATTGTCCTGGCAAGGGGTTGGCAGCGGCTGTGCTGTAGTGGAAGAGCGGCACCGTGCCTGCTACGGTGGAGAGGTCGGTCCCCGAAGAACGAGCAGATCCCCTCGAGGATTGACGAATGAACCAACCACGGGACAAAGAACCCCTGTCGGTTGCGAGGCGCAGTTGAGAGATTGAAGCTTGTTTGGGTCTTGCCCGGCGCCATCCGTGACCAATCAGGGGTTGCTGCAGAGGGATCTCATCTTGTTGACGGTGGTATAGTGCTTGGAGTCAATGCACACCGTAGCTCTATCTCGCCTTAGCAAAAGCTTGGCCTCGCCTGGTGCATGGTTTGTTAGTGCCTCACGAGATTGCACTGTACGGAATAGGGGACAATCTCCACCGAATATCCGTTCTACGACAAAACATCAGGGGTCTCACCTGGGTTTGGTCTGAGCCGCCATTGATTCTGCATCTCGCCTTGAGCATGTATACGACATTGAATGACACTTGGGAAATTGTCTCGAGTCGCTTGCGGTGGGACTCATTCTCTGCGACTTTGACCGCGTTCACTTGGCATGATGAATATGGAATTGCAATATTATGATATTAAATGCCTATGTCTTGTCCTCTTGGCTCACAATTTTCGGAAGTTGATTGACAACGGCGAACGGCGGCGGGTGAGTTGATGGGTGCATCGGGTCGAACAAAGAGCTTACGTGTGTTCGTGTTGAGTTGATTTCGATTTCCCTTCCGGGATGTGTATGCTCGGCCCGGTTGGTATCTTTGTCTCAAAGGGTTCGTCAATCCTTTCAGTGGCGCGTGTCATTCCTATCAGGGACACACTGTATCTCTCACTCCTGTTTCCTGGTTGGTTCCTCCACCTATCGTACTCTGAAACCGATGCAAAGCAGAGCATAGACGCTTGTGCACATCTATGGAGCTCATAATATCCATCCCTGACCCAGGCCAGCCGAGCTTGCGTTCTGGCATGAGCTTGACTGTGATATTTTTGGACGGGTTCTTTGTTGTTTTTCCTTGATCAGCGCTGGGACCTGTCTATCATCATCATATATAGTGGTTCAGACGACGACAACTCGAAGCTTGATCGCATTGGTGATGGATAGACGGGACATGAACAGTGGAGTACGGTTCTGTCGATGGCGGGTCGAGTTGCAGTCATTCTTTTGGATCATCGATTCCATTCCTCTCTCGTATATGCGTCGTCATCATCTTCCATCCTTCATTGTCCTCGAATCTTGTAATAGACGCTACCAACGCCATAAAGGACTCGGCCCCAGGCATCGTGAGTCTTTTGTAACAGTCCATGCTGAGGGCGTTTCTGGTTATGCCGTTGTTCCGGCCGGTCTGCCGAAGTCCGGTGATAGTGGCCGTCGTGGTACACGAGTTCTCCCGGCATCGTTATCCGTATTGTTTATCGTATGTACGTATTGTTATTTTTAATTATTTGTGGGCTTGATTCATGTGAATTGCGTGTTCCGAAAGTTTTCTATTCCAGAGCCCTTGCTAGAGGCCTCGCCCTGTTTAAATAATTCTCCTTAGTGTAGGGCGATCTGATGGTTGTCAACCTCTTGAGGCGCATGCCAGACCGATGACTCTAATTGCACTTCACCTGCTCAATTATTGCATCAATTCTTCCATCACTTGCCATTCAACTCAACGAGACGTCAGCATTTGACCTCTCATATGTATCAAAAGGTCCGGCGCCGCTGAATGGGTCCCACCACCGGCCGATCATGCGACTTAATCGCCGTCTCGGTCGGTTGTAGGGTGGCAAATATCACCTTTCACGGCTGAGTTTCTTTCATACTTGCGTCACGCCTATGAAATCTCAGCCTTGGCCCGTGGCTTGGCAATAAAGCCTTGCGAAGATCTTTCTTAATATCACAAAGTGTCTCGTGGTGGTTGTCTGTCTGTGTGAAGAATAAACTTGCTTTAATGCGGACCGCAAAGTGGTGAATGGAGGATGGATGCTGATGCTGGTAGCAAGGTCAAAGAGTAGAACACACGAAGACCAATAGATAGTAACAAGATAGACAAAGAAAGAGCATATCTCTAAAACAGATGAGGCTTCTCTTCTTTCCGTACGAGATTTCCTACATACGCAGCCTAAAAGTGAGGGTGAGTGCTCTTACACGAGTCTTGGCATCGTCAGATCCTGGCAACGATCATTCACTTCGTCATCCTTCAGAAGGAACCTCGAGAGATTATTTACTGCAGACTTCCCACTATCAATGTATGCTATCGATTTCCGTAAGTGACTTTATCATGACCCGTTGCACTTCAGTCATGTGTCAGGTGATGAGGAGCATGAGGCTGAGATGTTCCATCATTGACAATGGCTCGAGTACATACACAGCTTTAGAGCGTTCCTGTTTGGCGAAATGACCTAATGACATACAGTGATACACTACGGAGTATACATTGATGCATCCACTGATCGTTCCGAGACAGGCAATATCGCGTGCGGCCTCTCACTACTCGCCATGTTCAAACAAGTGTCACTCAGCTACCGTCACATGATATCGCCATGGATGCGTCTTCAAGTGCACATGAAGTGTAACTTTTATAATTTACGCCGATACACTGGCAATACATGTTTGTGTCATTTGACTGGATGAGGCCTAATACTCTTCGTACTTCTATGCAGAAAGATGAAAATCCTTGATTTGCAGAACTGAATGAGAGAGTCCTGGCAATCATGCGGAGTCTACTTTTTAGGCCATCATGACAACCTACAGACAGTAACTTGTTATCAGATCGCCAATGTCCGCTTGTCGCCGAACGTTGGTGATAGGCTTGCCATCTCTTTGTAACGTAGATTAGACCTGTTTAATGGTGGATGGTAAATCTACCTGGCAATCTCATATTGCGATAAATCTGATTAATTGAAGGAATGCACAGATGTTGCGATGTGTTCCCGCGTGCTTGTAATGCTAGATCAAGTCTGTTCTATATCATTATCACATGGATCAGCGCCAGGACGCACTTATACAGAGGTGGTTCGGCTGGCTTGTGAAAGAAACCAATTATCTATTCTCAATTGCGTATTTCAAGAACAATTACCTAGTTATCAAGAGATGGTGCTGCACAAACCGATAAGTACAAAAAACAAGGTCTCGTACTTCGCCTGTCGAAACCGAAGTATCACAATCTGATACCATCCCCACATGCCATGTCGCAAGCGATATACGCGAATGAATAAGCCAGTTTTATGACATCGGGCGAAGTTTCAATCCTCGGGGCTTCAGTTCAGGATTAGGACACACTGAGGGACTATGTAAGACAAGGTCTATTTCGTTAACTTCCTTTTGGATATAGGTGAGGCGAGTGCGTCTAGTTCATGAGAGTCAGGTGAAGCTTGGAGGTCATCATGCCAAGACCATTCTCCACGCCCAGCATTACACAGACATGCATGAGTGGCCAATATAGTCTCCCAAGAACCGGGGAATAAGGAAACCAGGTGCAAAAGCTCCGGAGCTCCAGTTCAGATCTCAAAGACAGGCAGGATTCCTGGTATCTTGCATGGGAGACTTGGTGTTGTTGATGTCGCCTGACAAGATGCTCTTTTAGGCCGGCAGACACATCAAGTCCAACCAAGTCTACACCGTCATGCCGCTGTCACTAAAGTGAAATACCGGTAAGGGTGGGATTCTATAAATCTAAAGCTTCTACTCTTCTACCATTTTAGCGTTACTCATGGTCTGTGTGTGATGTTGCGATGCATCAGCTGTCTTACACCCAACATGGTGAGGCTCGGGCACCTACAGCTCAGATCTCGATGTCTATGGGGAAGCTTTGTCGTGGAACTTTCCAACCCATTCGCTTATCGAGCAAAAGTCCTTGGTTTATATTGCTTTGCTTGCTTTACAAGCCAAATCCTCGTGGCTAGGTCCTTTCATGATGTAATTTGGCGTCATGTTTAGTCTTAGAGGCGTTAGTGAAGAAACACCACCATGATGTCATGGAGCCCATGCTCTGTATATATCAAAGAGCTCAAGGAATTTTTGGCACCTGTATCAATCATATCCTACATATTAATCAATCAAGTCGAAGTAAACGAATTCATTTTTCCCTCAACACATCACACATCATGTCTACCAAGAACCCCAGCCACGGTCAAAAGGTAAGCATAAGGAAGGCTTGTGTTGTATCAGAACTAACAGGTCAGGTCGATCTCGGCCAGAAAGCTCCCGTAAAGGAGGAGGGTGCTGGTACAGTCCCCAATGAGTCTCTCGCTGCTGAGTCCTTGAAGGAGGGCGGCGAGTTCGCCTCCAACAAGGGCATCCACGGCGAGAACCAGCCCACCTCCAGATCCGAGAACACCAACGCTGGCCGCAACACCGATACCTCTTCCGCTCCCAGCTCCGGCTCTGGCTCCAAGACCTCTAGCTCTGCGTCCAAGTCTTCCGGAACTGCCTCAAAGTCCGGTAACTCTGCTCCCAAGTCTCTGGCCGGCACCGCTCCCAGCTATGTCGAGAACCAGTATATCAAGGAATCTGGCCCTCACGGCAAGAACTTGAAGGAGGGAATTGACTATTCCAACACCAAAGATGGTCTCAAGAAGGCCTTGGAGTCTGAGCCTGGTAGCCAGGATGACCCTAGCCGACTTGCTGAGCAACAGTTCCAACAAAACCAGACTGCCGCTGGCCGGGATGCTGGTCCTAAGCAGAGTGAGCTTGAGGGCAAGACTCCTTTCGATGCTCTTGACAACGAGGCTTCCCCTTAACATGGGAAATCACAATATCTGTACTATAGCGGCTGCTCAATGATGAAATGACCTTATGAAACGAAGACTGGCCTATATCTGTGACACTATTGGGTTATGGATCAAAAGACGTCCTTGTACATGATTTATGGATATGAACTTATTATATGACCTCGCCATGATTGGAAAGGTATCATGTCGAGGATATCTAACAAACTTCGCGTACTCTGTACTTGGGTGAAGTCGCTTGGCTATCAGGCTATCTCCCTCTGCCTCTGTGGCATCAAAACTGAGCGGCATTGAATCGGACGAGGCGCGAATCATCTTCGGTTCATCATGATCAGTTACATGCTCGACTGCAGACAGTGCAAATGCCTGATACACGAGCACAAGGATTGAGCCAACGGCTATTTCCAGGCGCAACAGGCGGCAGTCTCATCTTCAGGTGATAACGCCTCAGATAGTGGTGAGTTACTGCAGAGAGGCAAAGTTGACTCGTAGGTTTCAACAACTCGACCGGTAAGTCCGAGTAAAGGCGTTAAATCGAGTATTATGAGTCTGCATGCAAAGTTACGGATTCACCGTCCTTCAAGGTTGCCTGCACGAGAAGAAGATGGCGGGCAGTGTGAAAATCCTGAAACTCAACAGCCAATCATATTGGGCGGATTGATGACGTCAGGTCAGAAAAAAATAATTAAAAATTTTGGGGTTGATAGAGAAAGATAAGAGCAATTTACCGCAAAAAGCGCAGAGTAGGTTGAGAATAGAGCTTAAGCAAGTCGAATCCCTTTTGTACTAACTCATTCATCAAGACTATTCTATAGATTGGACTCATTAAACTCGCAGCTTATCGGAAATAACACACCTTGATGCCTTAGTTGGTGCCTGACTCTGTCAGTCAAAAAATCTGTAAATCTGCCCCACCAAAATTAAAAAATTCACCCCGCCTTCCTCTGGGCACAACCACTGTAGAAGTGAACCGGGAACTGACTGGAACCGCCACACTCATTGTTATTTGCTTGGCTGCCCTGGTTTTTCTTTGTCGGTCAGATCAACTTAACTTTTCCATCTATCTCACTCTCTTCTTCCTCCCTCTTCATCGAACGGTCATTTTCCAAACCACTTCATATACCCCGGTTTGGACTTGATTTCTTAGACGGACATCCTCACCCCGCCGACAGTTTCCGTTCTTTCAACCCCGCAGTCTTTTTCTCTCTCTTCTCTTTCCTACACACATCTTCATCATGGCCCCCTCTTCATCCAAGGAGAAGCGTCTCGCCAAGAAGGCTGCCGAGGGCAAGCTCAAGGGCAAGAAGGGCAAGAAG